AAGCCCCACCGAGCCTCCATTCTGACCTTGTTATAGCTTCAGCCACCAGCCAGAACTCCTCCCCCCCATTTCCCAGGAGACAAGATTCTAAGGGCCATTAACTAAGAGGCAGCTTCTTTTGTGTTACTTAACTGCCCACTTAATATCCCTCCCCGAAGTGGGCAGGGGGAAGGGAAAAATACCTGCTTAGTTTCTAAGAACCAGCAAAACCATGACAGAATGTTATCAGGTTCAGTGATAGGCAACGGCAAGTGAAAGGTCCTGCACCTTGGCTGGGGCAACCCCTAATATCAATACAGGCTGAGGGATGAAGGGATTTGGGCAGTAAACTGGTGAGAAGGACTGGGAGCATGTGCTGATGGATGAGAGGCAGAACAGACAAGAGAGCCAAATGTGTCCTGGGCTGCATCAAAAGCAGCATGGCCAGCAGGTTGTGAGGGAGGTGATTCTCCCCCTTTCTCCCTCTACTCCACTTTGGTGAGACCCCACCTGAAGTACTGCATCCAGCTCTGGAGTCCTCAGAAAAAGAGTGACATGGACTTGTTGGAGTGGGTCCAGAGGGCCATGAAGATCATCAGAGGACCAACTCTCTTATGAAGACAGACTGAGAGAGCTGGAATTGTTCAGCCTGGAGAAGAGAAGGCACTGATAAGACATCGTTGTGGCCTTTCAATCCTTAAAGGTATAATAAAGATGGGGACAGAATCTGTTTTGGTATGACAAGGGGTGATGATTTAAAATGAAAGAGGGTAGGTTCAGACTAGATGTAAGTAAGAAATTTTTTACAGCAAGGATGGTGAAACAGGTTGCCTGGAGAAGTTGTGAATGTCCCATCACTGGAAGCATTCAAGGTCAGAGGCTCTAGGCAACTTGATCTAGTTGAATATGTCCCTGCTAATTGCCGGGCTGCTGAGCTAGGTGGCCTTTAAAGGTCCCTTCCAACCTAAACTATTCTATGAATTTAGTATTTTAATTATGAGATAAAAATGTCAGAATGATTTAACCCCAGCTCTTTTTTTACTTAAGACTATGTCTTATATGTAACCTGAGAACTGGAATGCAAGTATTTCAATTTTGTGTTATCGTTTGATTTTTATGAAGTCACCTGGTGGATAACTTCTAAGAATAAAGCCCATTTTAAAAACAGCAATATAAATATAAATATAAAAACAGCAAATACAATTTCTGTAAAAGTTATCTATGTATGTAAAATAAAATGTACATGTAATTAATGTATTTTAACAGCATTATTAAAATTTAACTTCACTGACAGTCTTTTGAGTATATCAAAAATGATACTCTGTATATGCTTTAATATTTTCTTCTCTCTCTTATCACCAGAATAAGTTTTATTTTTTGCTGTAGCAGTGTTAGGCTAAGTCTTCTAGGCGTGACTTTTGCTCTGCTTTTGTAATTGAAGTTGGAAAAGACAGGGTTCCTTGTTTTCTTTCCTCTTGTTTTGGTGATGAACCATCAGAGGAAAGCATAACATGAAGTGATGCTTTAACAACAGTGACATGTAAGGGTCAGACTGTGCTTTTGAGGTTTGCTACTGCACCTGGTAAGAATTCTTGCATAACCTCTTTCAGTTTTATTGTGTGCTTTTTGTCACTGGCAAAATGCTAGTTGAACTCATTGTACTGAAAAGTTAGAACCAGAATTTTGTACGATTTTTTGGAATAGTCTGAGATACTGGAGTTTTGTAGGACTGTGATTTAGGGTATCAGTCAGTGTGAAGAAATAGAATTATCACATACCCAGGGCTAATGGTTTGAGATAGAATTTACTTAATTCTGGATTCTTAATTTTCAGATGTGCAATCATATGTCTGTCTAACAGTTTCTGTCCTGAAAGCAATTACTGTACCACTTAACAAAAGCAAAACCAGAAACGAAAGCCATGAGAAAGTTCAGACCAATCCTGAATGATGTGACAACAGAGCAGAGGAGGTTATCAAATACAATAGGAGGTTGTTAAATACGGTCCAAAGGTAAAGTTCTATATCAAATAAGGAGAGTAGAGCAAAATATAAACCCTGTCAGGCCAAATGCGTGGGAGCATCTCTAAAAGAGAGTTGGAGAAACAACTTTGAAAACATAAAAAAGCAAGCTTTAAATGCTTTTTCTCCAATATTTTGGGAGAAGGAACATTGCCAAAGATTCTGTGGGCCCAGCAGACAACCTAGGTATTAAAAGAGCACCCAGAGAGAATAAGGCTATGACATAGGAATGTAAATATTTGTGTTCAGCATAGAAGAATGTAGGGATGTATTCACTCCCACATCCTGTGTTATGGATAATTAGAGGATCTGTTTCAAGTAAGTGCTATGTTGTAATAGAAAGATATTTTGTCGTTGGTTTTTACTTTCATGTCCAGTGCTGAGATTTCCTTCCAGAAACAAGGGTACTTTGAAACCCAGTCCCATAGGGTATGTGTGTTATCATTTGGAATTACGTGACAGCCCAAGTTATCCCTAACTTAAGGAAACGTATGTTCGTTGCAGAATAGCATCAGGAGGGAAAATACATTTCTCTTGAAATTTGCAGAAGTACAACATTATTTGTCCATTACCATTAAATTTCAAAGAATGAAGCCTTAGCTCAGCAAGCAGTTGTTTATATTTAGCCTAAATGCAAAGCAGAGGTTTCATTTGCAATGGTGCTGTAATTTAAATTGTCATTGTCAAAACTATCTTTGCTTGATTCTGAACACAGAAGGCAATCTCAGCAGCACCACAGGATAGAAAGGTTTACTAGAATAAGCTGTATTCCGATTTGTCTGTGTAGTTCTCGTCTTTGGCCTTAAATGAGTTGCTTAGGAGTAAGTAGAATTTTTGTACAAGATGATTTGTTACTGATTTAATCACATGCTCCACATTTCTGACTGTGACAGTAGATTGTTTCATGCTTTTTTTCCCCCCCTACTCTTTACATGGTCTGCTTTTAGAGCTTGGGGCCCATGTTTGTGCACAGATTGTTATTTCGTTAAGGGAGGACAAAAAACCCTCAGAAAAGTGAAAGATTAGATTGAGTTTGGTTGGATGTAGAGTTGAGAATGAGCAATTGATGTTACTAGAAAATAATAAAAGTAGTTTTGAGTTGCAACTTATTTTCTATTTTCTTGTTATACTAATTACATAGTTTGTGAATGGTATGGTTGTGTGTAACAGTAGCCAAAACTTGAAACTGTACCCAAATGATTGTGTAAGAAAGTAATAAACTAATGCACAAGATCTGTTTCCTTTCAGCCAGACACAAATAGATCAGATCCAGTAAAGCATACTTGTTCATAAATACTGCACAGGAAGGAGTGGAGCAGGATGATGCACATTTGGAAATCACTTGCTTTGAAGACTTGGGGCCTTCATTGTTATTAAACCAGCTGGAGCTAACTATCATGTTCTGGGGTGGAATAGAAGTACAAAAATAATTTGTAGATGTGTTTAGTTACAGCAGACATTCTCTTTTTTTGTTGTTTTTGTTCATAAACTACTCAAAATACCATTTTCTTGCTCTTGTTCATATTATATGTTTACTTTGCCTTTACGTCTTCTGACCAATTCCTGCATTTTTGGCTCTTAAAAGAGTATAACCAGTGATAGTGTTAGTTATGATTTAGTGCTTGGTATCTTGGGGATTTGCTTGATGTCAAATCATGGCTGGAATTGAAGCTTGTTGCAGATATGGTGGGACTGCAAGCAAATACCGAATCTTCTCGGAGGCTGAGCAAACTCCCTGGGGTGTGCAGAACTACTGGAGATGATGTGAGAAATTGCTATATGTAACAAACCACAGTGTGAGAAGCTGACAGAAGTTGTAGATAGCACCCTATGGGATTTCATGAGTAGTAAAGGGGGAACTGTGTGAGAAATGCCTGAACAGTGCCATTGTGTGGAGAGGAGCACTGGGGCCACTTTGGAAAGTGCAGTGTTACAAGACCAACAGTGCAAAGATAATCATTTCAGAAATAGCAAAGTTTGGTATAGCTGTAGCAAAGCTGGGACCATCAAGGCAAGAAGTAATTGGAGTGGTTTGTTAAATTGGGACAGAGAAAAGGAAGTAGAAGTGTAGTGGAGAAAGAGGATCAAATAATGGGAAAAAAGGTAAAATTTTGTGACCGGGTGCTGTCAGGGGGTCCCTGTTGGGCAGCTTGTGCTTGATCATCACAGCTGGAGTCTGACAATAAGTTAAACCTGTTTCAATTGCTTATTTCATCTTTTTCCCATTGAATCCTTGTATTTGCAGTGACAACATACTCATGATGCCAACCTGTGACTTACTGTTCAATTTATCTCTTAAATCTGTGTTTACAGTCTGCACAAGAGCTGCTTTCATTGTTTCTTTGAGACTTTGGTTCACAGCGAACTCTAGTAGTGTCATAATTTCTTAATGTTACCGATCCGTTGATCATCCCATATTCTTCCAGTGTCTCTCAACTCCTTGAGATGAAGAATAAGTGAGAAATTTATTGTGATACCACCACATTTTTTGGGGTTATGTGTATGAGCACACTTTCATGCTTCCTTCATCCATGTATAGTGTGCAGAAGTACTGTGAACCTTTTAATATTTTTGAAAGCATATGCTGCTGCTCTATACATTTTGTGTAGACTCTAATGTGTTACAACTGCTTTACCTGACTTGGTATACTGTATACCCTTCATATGTATCTCAAAAAATAGTGGAAGAATAATACATTTGTATAGTAAGTTGCTGAGTGAGACAATGTAAGGCATGTACACTCAAAATTAATGCTGAGAAATACTCCATAAAGTTACCTTATCACATTCAGTACCTATCATCAGTACCTATTCCTATGGATATCCAGTATCCAGGTATCCAGTATTTTGTTGTCATTAAGATTGCCCTATATTTCTGATTTCATTGGATTTTCTAAGAAGACATGATCATTGTTGTGAACACCCTTTTGCTAATTTGAATATATTTGTGTATATTAATTGATAGATTCCCTGGTTCTCATGAAACATTTCTCTTTTAATAGATGAACTGCGGAAGTTGAGTTGGTCTGGCATTCCCAAACAGGTTCGTCCTATTGCATGGAAGCTTCTTTCAGTAAGTTGTATTTCTTTCCAATTCTTCCTTTGCATTTAGTAATAGTAGCTTTTTCAAGCATTGCAAATAATTTTGCTTGAGTTGTAATCCTTTAATGATAGTTGAAAACGTTGTGTCCTGTTGCTGAATTGGAAGTTATGTTCTTTTGCTCAGTTTCAAGCTTAATCTATCAAATTGAAAGGAGAGGGATGAGAAGTAGCAGTAAATCATGTCCGCTACATATCTTTATTTTTCAGGCTGGCTTTCTATGAAAGAAAGGCTTGTGTGATAACAGAGGCCTCTTTCAGCCAGTTCTGATGGAGTGGTGGAGAGTTCAAAGACAAGAACGTTCTTACAGTTTTCTTGAGAATAGACACACAGTGGAGGAAATGAAGCCTATCAGTGTCTTACGAAAGGCTTAATTCAGAGTTCACTTTAAAGTAACTGCAAGAAAGGATTAACAATGTACTGAGGAGAAGCTATGATAGGATCTATAGGTTTTTTTGGCTGATTTTTCTATAGTGGTTTAGGATGAACGATTCAGACCTGTGAATCAGTTCAGAGAGACAATCTAATTAAAAAGCTAATCACTTTTTTGTAATGTGAGTCTTCGACTGGCTGAGCTCTTTAAACTTTGCCCAATCGCCAGAGGGTTTTGCAGCAATGGCAGCAACTTGAGAGTAGGTTGACTGAAATACTGTGGAGCAGCACACAGAGGTGTTTCGGTTGGACACTCGAAAGAAGCTTGTGGGAATCTGTGATTATCAGGGTTTGGTGTTACAGAACAAGATTTTTTTAGTTTAAGTGTTTGCTCTATAATTGAAATGGTTCTCCTGCAAAAATACAGTATTTTCCTCATAGAAGTATTTTTCATGTCTACCTTTTAAACTATAGTACTTGTGATGGCAAACAGTTGTGCATTTTAGCTGTTGTCTGCCTGGGGTTAGGAGAAGGCTTGCGAAGATGCTTGTATTAAAAAGAAGCAGAACTCTTGTGCTGTCTACTCTCCAGAGGTTATGAAAGACACTTTCTCAGCAAATCTTCATGCAGTTAAGAACTGTTTAAAATTCTGAATTATACACACACCAGTTTAACACTATTGAATTTTTCAGAGAGTAGACTTAAACTGCTTTGCTTTTTATAGAATAATTCTGTAGGGAATGCAAAGTATTTACTTCAGATTGACACTGATTTCCAGTGACTGAAAGAGTCTCTCTTGCTGATGAGTTCTACTAAATTTGCAGCTTAGTTCCTTCTAGTGCTAAATGCAGATGCAGCTTAATGGTGGATATTCAAATATCCTGCTGTAATTGAAATTAAACATGGAGCTTACAGTGTATTTTAGTTCTGTTTCCAAAGTTGTCTGAGATTTTGGTAATGAAAAGAGCATTTTTTTTTCTCTTGAAGTTTGGGATGCCTGTTTTAAAATACTCAAAAAAAATACGGCTAACTTGACTTTGAAACACAGAAAGCTAAAGCATAAGAATAGTTTAAGTTCTGAATCAGAAGACTGACAGTGAGGTTTAGAGAGTAAGAATTATGCAAATTAAAAAAATATAACTTTTACATGAAGTAAACTCTCTCTTCTTGCTCTTTAGTAAGAACATGGGCTTTCCGTGAGCCTCAATTTAATTTCATGAGTTGATTTTTTTTTTAGTGTTTCTCAAATTTCTGGTCTAGAGGAGTTCTTAAGTGTAGAGTTTGTTGTTCTGTTGCTTTAACCACTCCAGGATCTGTTTCAGTTCAATTCTTAACTTGTTCTGTCTTGTCATACCTCTGCAAAAAAACTGTCTTCAGGTTACTTTTTTTGTACTTAAGGAAATAAGTGGGTTTTTTCTTTTTTAATAAGAGACCTGCAAGACTTTTGTTGTTGGTTTCTTTGTTTCTACCTCCAAATGGCAATACTTTCAAAGTTTTCAGCTTTTCTAAGAAAATCTTGCCATGATTTCTTATCTGTTAATTGGTCCTCATGTGATATTTTTTGGAAACCCAAAGATGAGTCATTTAGTAATAATTACTTTTCTATACTGTAAGGCAGCATCTTTTTTCGTCTTCTTTCCCAAGTGGGGAAGAAAAAGTGCTTTCAGTTTTTGTGGTCATAAACTCCACCATGCTTTTTTCTAATGGTAACCTAACACTTACCTATTATTTATGTACATCCCAGGTAAGAGGGAGTAGTGTGATAGTCCCTGGAAGTATTAAGGCCAGATTGGATGGAACTATGAGCAACCTTGTCTAGTGAAAGTGTCCCTGCTTATGGTAGGTGGGGTTAAAACTAGGTGATCTTTAAGGTCCCTTCCAAACCAAGCCTTTCTGTGATTCTACACAGTGCACTGGGAGCTCCTGGGGAAATAAGTGTTTTTGAAAATCAAAAGTGACATTTTGATTAAAGATCAGTTGCAATGTTATAAAAAAGGACAGAAAACAGAAACAACCAAAGTATAGTTTAGAGCTAAGTTAAGACTGGATATATTTGTGTTGGAATTATTCAAAAGTCTTATTTAAAAAGCCCAAACTTTTTCAGGGAATTGAGTGCAATTGGTAGTGTCTGAGGCAGATGGCAATTATCTTGTTTGTAAAATCAGCATGGAAATTGAAATTTTAAAAATTATTTAAGAAATTGATCAGTTGAGATATTTATTGCATAGACAACAGGTTAACAATGTTAACATGTTTGATGAATACATTTTTTAAAGGAAAGCATATGAAAATCACTATAATACTCAGGATCTGTTGATGTTATGCATATCTACTGGTAACAGTATATATAAAAATTACATGATTTATTTTTAAATAAAAATGTTAGGTACATTGTATCTAAACAGCTAGCAGAACTATCCAGGCTCATTTCTCTTTTGAGTAACAAAACTAAAGATATGTTTGCAAAAGCCTTTGGAGGAAATGAATGAATAAAGGGATTAAACTCTCCACCAGTTTATTCAATGATGATATGTTGCAAGGCTTTCCAACTCTTAAAAATAAAACCTTATTTTTAAACTGAACAGCAAACACAACATGTTGAATTGAAAGGTTAATTCAGTCTTTGAAACAGAATAATGCAAAAAGACTTGGTGAGGGAGTATCAGGGCCTTTCAAACGATCACATCTGATCTCACAAGTGAATTCTAATGCAACCAGCTAAGATATCCTACAGGGAAAAAACCACACAACTGTTGAGAATAAACAGGCATCAGAATTCAGAATCTAACTTAATACAAAAGATTGGGACAGGATATTAAGTGTCAGAGAGAGTCTTGAGGCAAAAGCGAAGCTGGTATGGTTTAAAGTACCTAGAACCAAACACAAGCCAGTATATCTTAAAAGACATGGTTTTGCGAAAGCAATTGCCTTTTAAGTTATCTGGAATGTAATATGGTTTGTACTTATTCTATTGTCATTATAAACTAAGAAATTAAAGTATACAGGAATAACATTTTCAATGCCTTTAATATAAAATCATAGAATTTTTTATGTTGGAAAGGACCTTTAAGGTCATTGAATTAAACTATTAACCCAGCACTGTCAAGTCCAACATTAAACCATGTCCTTAAGGACCACATCTGCATGTCTTTTAAATACATCCAGGGATGGTGACTCAACCACTTCCTGGGGCAGCCTTTTCCAGTGCAGGACCTGCTCTTACTAAATCCATGCTGGCTGGGACTGATCCCCTGGTTGTCCTGCACATGCTGTGTGATGACAGTCAAGTTGATCTGCTCTTTTTATTAGTTGCCTGTGATAGCTGTGGCTCATTGTACGAGTGCAAACATTGCTGCACTTCTAGTATAGGATTTTTTTGATGTTATGAAGGTTTTTTTTGCTAATGAAACTTAAATCTGACATGTTTGATTTCTGTATTTTACTAATTATTATTAGTATAGTGAAAGCTGTTATTGTGGAAGGGTAACTTATGGATTGTTGGCAAGCAATATTTTAATTTGACTTGAATAGTAAATAATTAGATTTTTCTTATAGTATCTTGGATATCCAGATCTCTTTCAAAACCATCCATCTTTAAAATTAATCTTATACACCACATTTATTTTGGATGCCCGTGTAGGTTAAATATGAACTGGCTTTTTTTTTGCAGTGTTGTGGGATGTCAGTGTTGATCATTTGAAAGCAAGTTGCTTACAAGAAAGCTTCAGCTATTTGTGAATATTCAGGAAACTTTTTGGTAGCCATTTACATGAATAATGGTATTTCTAATAAGTGTACTTTATATATAAACTGAACATTCGGTAACATTTACATTTTGTAAAATGCTGAAATAGTATCCTAAGCTTGTTTTTTAAATCAAAAGTAGACTGAGATACTACAAATGATGATATAACTGGACTTAAGAAGAAAATAAGAATGAATTTTTAAATTTTTTTTGGGGGAGAAGAGTGGGATTTTCAAATATATATATGAATGACTTTAATGAAGAATCATTCAGATCTATTCTATACATAATGCAACAATGTGTGATCTTGTAGATCTATTAACATGACTTCCTTTGTGTGTCATATCATGTGCAAATTAAGATAATATTTGTAAATTGCTTTTGGGAAACAACTAAGGAAAGGTGCATCTAGTGGTCTTACAACTAAGAGCCCAGTAACTGGTGCTGCTGATTCTTTTTCTGTGATGAAACATTTAGTAACCTGCTGAGATGAAATGAAAGCTTGAAATTGTTTTTTTTCTCAGTGGAAACAGTGAGATAATATAGCTAGAATGTTTTTAAAGCTTTTGAGTTAATACTTCATTGTATTTCAAGTTTAACCATGTTTTAAACATATTTGCTAATGTATAAAATCCCTACTTAAAGGCAACTGAGCTAATATGCATTTTGTTTAAAAATTTCATAAAATTACTCTAATACTGGACACATAGAAATTGAAGAACTCATACGGCATTGTATTTCCCTGAACTGATTTATTTGAGCTTTTCTCAGTTAAAGTCAATATCATTTTAGTATTCATGATAAGAAATTGCTAAAAAAAAAAAAAAAAATGCAAAAAAACCCCAGTGATTTTATTAGGTATTTTTATCTGAACTTTTGTACCAGTTGGACTGATATGAAAAATGGTTTATTGAAGCATTATTCAGATCAGTGTAGGACTACATGGCACTACGTCAGTTAATTATGTCACGTGATCAAATACCAGCAGTGCTTTTTGTGTGCAAGGCAAAGAGTAATACCCTCCTCACGTCACTGTGTTTTTTTTTTTCAGGGCTATCTTCCTGCAAATGTGGACCGAAGAGAAAGCACTTTACAAAGAAAACGCAAAGAGTACTTTGCATTTGTTGAACAATACTATGATTCCAGAAATGATGAAAATCACCAAGATACCTACAGACAGGTAGAACACCTATTGAAGTGACTTTTACCTGCAGAACACCTCCTAAAGAATCTAAAGAGATTGTTTTTGAAGTTTTCTACTGCTTTTCTCTGTTTCTTTAATCTTGCTGGATAGACAACTCTCTAATAATTTTCCTAAATCTCAGAAGCAAGAATATGAAGCAGTTTGGTCTGAAATTCAAAATAGTGGTTTCCTCTTAATGTCAGCTTTAGTGATGCCATGGTTTTTTGTTTAAGATTAGCAGTGTTTTCAAATCTGTAATCTCCCACTCAGACCTTCCTTCAAATGAGTGAGGATGGACAGGGAAACTACAACGGTGACTGTTTCTTACTGGCTCCATACTTTTGCTTAAGAAGTTGAAACTGTGTATGATGTGCAATAAGCATAGGGGTGTCAAACAGTTATGCCCACCCAAATAAGCAGATAACTTATCTTCAAGTTTGGTATTGAAATGAATAATTTGCTACACTAAGTATAGACCAAACAATACTACTTTAACCTTCCTGAAGAAGAGGCTGAGATCTTTCTTTCAGCTTCAAACCTGATCTTTAGTAGCAAGAAATAGCATCACTAACATAAGGTACTTGTGTATGGAGCCCCAAATCATCACTTTAGGATTCTGTTGCATAAAACTCCTTTGCAAAGGTTGGAATAAAAATTTAGAAATCCTGGTATTTTTGTGCTCTCTTCTTGATTGTCCAATATATTAAAATAGGTGTTAAACCCTGTTTTTATCTTTGAACGGTTGGACTTGATGATCTTACAGGTCTTTTCCAACCTAGAAGATCTATAATTCTATGACAGTGGCAGTTGAACATGACGTTACAGAAGCAGTTGTATGAAATTACTTGTAATTATCCTGAGGTAATGAGTATTACCAATATGACCCTAATTTGCAAATAATTAAAATGTGATGTAAGGATCCTAAAATGAATACGAATATATGTGTTTTTTTTATTTTTCCTCTTTGCTAGATTAACAATGACTTAAAGCTTTGGATGTGTGTTTAAAAATACAGTAAAAATTCCAAAAATAACAATACAAGAGGATTATAACTAATACTGTAAAATAATAGAATTACTTTAAGTATTGTGTTGTTTAGAAAGTGTGCTGTTGGTTCCTTTTACAGTATTCCTCTTTGTCTAATTAGATCCATATAGATATCCCACGCATGAGTCCTGAAGTTTTAAGGCTTCAGCCCAAAGTAACAGAGGTAAGAATGGTATCTAAAGACTTTTTTTTTTGTTAGAGAAAACATTTTATTAATGAATCTGATATCAGAGTTTGATTAATAATTAATTTGACAGTACTTGCTATTTTGACTTCAGAACTACCTTAAACCAATAAATGAGGATATATAAGTATAGGCTAAGAATAGCAGTGTAAATATGAGTAGTAAAAGCAAAGGCATCTCATTAATTTTCTGTATCAAATCTGTCACTTTTTTCTTTGGTCTTGTTCCTTTGAGGTTTTTTTTTTCCCTTCTTTTCCTTTTTATATGTTTTGTTAATACTGTGTTTTTGAACTAATGCAGAGCATAGTTCCATGGTTCCATGCATTTGTCAAAATCTTTCAAGGTCTGGAAGTTCTCATCATAGTGTTCCACTTGGGAAATTCTCTTTTTTGAATTTGTAGCATTAAGTGCATTACCTGATTTTACTTCCTTGTAAGTTTTGTATGTTGAATACACTATTTAAATTGTTTTACTACTGTTGTAATTATATGATTAATGTAAATATATAATAACATGATTAAATATATGAATAATGGTAAATATGTTAGTCAAATTTGCCTATATTGTAGGGTAATTGAATCTCATGGGGTCTTTTCGTTTTAAAGTATATGGGTCATAAATGGTGTAGATGATGTGGATCACCCTCTTTCAATAATTTTTTCTAATTCTTCAATTTATTCTCCTTTCTAATGGTTTTAGTTAGACCTTCAAATGTACTTCCGTGTAGCTTCTGTTTGTACCATTATAGAACCAAATAAAACATCTCCCAATATGGCATAAATGCAGAACTGGCTTTCATTTGTTTTTCCATTATTGCAATTAGTTGTATAATGGAAATGCTCTTCCACATGTGCTAGAGAAATCGGTTTGAAGAAACAGCCTACTGCAGTGTTTTGGGAGAAAATAGTATAAATAGTGTTTTACCTGAGCTTTTCTAGGGGTGAATGAAGGAGTAATGTAAGTAAAATCAAGGAATGAGAAGGAAACAAGAAGAGTAAGTTAAACTTGAAGAAATAAATAAGACCGGTGACAGTGTTTAGCTAGAAATGAGCCAAAAAGTGAAATTGAAAGTGAATATTATTTCATTATAAAGTGGGCACTGGAAGAAGAATACTCCAGGTAAACATCTTCATAGAATGTACCTAATATCCTTTCTTTTAACCCAAATATTTGGATGAGAAGTACCTTAATAAAAATGATACCAAGATATCAAATCCTCGTTGAGAATAGTTTGAGATAAAGTGTTATTTAGTAAAATGATGAGGTTGTCAGATAGAAAGCTGTAGGATCTTGGGCTAGTTTTGTCTTTTGCTTCTTTGATTGTGCATGAGACAAGATATATAACTACTCTTCAGAGATGGTTAATGTGTTTCTTTAGACTATATGTGAACTTGATAATAGTTTTTAGGAACATAACTTTATATTTACCATGGATATCTACTTTTTCCATACTACAGTTAGAAATGTTAGAGTAAGCTTGTATTGATAATTAAAGAAGATCTCATTAAGGTTTTTTAACACTTGAAATGTGTATTTTTGTAAATATTTAGTGTATTGTGGAAACATCCTATAATAAGACATTGAAAAGAATTAGTTACAGAATAGCTATAATCCCCTTTTGGTTGAATGACTAACTTAGAACTTATAAGTTTATTTGGGAACTCGGAGAATATATTACTATAAAAAAGATAGTGCATTATTTTTTGCAAGCAGTCACAGTTGATTTTTTTTTTTAATAGCTGAATTATACTTGATCTGAAAATAGACTGGTTTAATGAAAATGCTGACAGAACTAGTAAACACTAGAAAAATAGACTAGTAGAATGAAACACTACTCATTTTGCTTGGGAATAACTTAAAAAAAAATACTGTGACTGAGTAACTTCTTGCTAAGTAAAATCCAATATGTCAATAGAACTTCAATACCAAATATTATTCAGTAAAATTTGAGTACGGAATGCTGTTTCAGTCAGCTTTGTAGGATCATTAAACATGAAATTATTAAGGTTGTTTTTGCTTTTAATTGTCTTTTGGCAGGTAACAATGCTCAGATAGCATAATCATTTAATATTATTTATTAATTATTATTATTATTATAATAATATTAATATTTATTAATAATAATTATTATTAATAATATTAATATTATTTACTCATTTGCAGGTTTGTGTTTTTTTTCTTTTTTTTAAATCTAGAATAAGAATTTTTTTCACTTCTAGTTATTTGTTGAACTTGTCCAAAGGAACATTTTTCTAACACTTCATTGGATTTGTGTATCTTAAACACTACCTTAAAATAAACATATCCATACTTTCTAGAAATTGTGGTTGTACTTGCAAGTGGCGTTGAGTTCTCTTCCAGTGCTAACAGAGTATGTATACAGCTCCTTAAATTAGTTTGTTGAATACAGCTCAATATCCCTGCTTGCTGATTGTACTTGACCTTTCTCAGTTTGAAGGTTTAGTAAATTGAGCCACGTAACAGGCATAATTGATCCCCATAAAGTAGATTAAGGTGTTGTACAACTGGAGTGCTGCTGCTTTCAGGTTTAAAAAGAATGTTTAAAGAAACCACATCAAAATCACTCTCCCCTCAATCCCTGTCCATACCCTATCCCATCCATCTTCCCTGCTCCAACACCTTTCTTCTTCCCTAGCAAGTAGTAAGAAAATGGATGAAAAAATGATAGAAGGCTTGGAGGAGTGAGATGTGACAGTTGATTAATAAAAAAGAAAGTGTAAACCAAAGGTCTATTTTAATAATATTCTTTTAGCTGCTAGTGAGTGATCTTGAGGTACAGAAAAATATGAAAAGGGTGGATGGCCATAGGATAAGGGGAAGTCTAGGAAGTATTTGAGTTATAAAGAAGTGATAGAGATCTGAATTAATTTTTACAGATCTGTTAGTATCCTGAATGTTACAGAGCTGCGGGTTCTTCATTTTAGAGCTCCACTGATCTGACTAAATGTGTGGGCTACTGTGAGGATGGGCTTGCATATGTCTTTGCTCTCTCTTTGGTCCAAACCAAGCCCGACTTGCTTGATGCTATTGTACAGAAGATGCTGAAAGGGTCATAGCATCCATCTTTTCCATTATTTCTTTCCCTTGCTTTCTGGGTTTCTGGGGACCTCCCATAGCACTGCTGAATCCCTTAGCCTCGCAGGGGATCCCACCTTATTCCCAGGGACTCATCCAGATAGGGGCCTTGTGTTGTTCCCAGAACTAACTCTCTTCTAGGGAGAGGGGAGGTAGTGCTGGTCTCAGGTGGGCAACAGTAATTTCCCCTTTTTTAAGGTGAGATGGCAAGAGCTATGAAGAAGAGAAGGATATCAGAGTATGGGTCAAAGACAGGTTTCAAAGGGTTACACTGTGTGCAAGACTCTTGTTTTGGACATTATGATGGGTTTTGTATGTGTTTTTGGTGCTGCAAAAATTTAGAGTAATGATATCACCACTGGGAAAGAATATCATGTAGAATGAGATGAAGAGACTGTAGTTGACAAAATTGGACAAAAGCACTAGTCAAAACTTTAGAAACAAAGCATATGTCTTCTGACTTAAATTTCCATATGTTACCGATTTTTGTTGTTCTTGGTGGTATCAGAGTCTCTGTTCCCAAAGAACTTTTAATTGGAGTTAAAAAGGCTGCTTAATTTCTTATCAGAACTTGAAATTTGGTTTCTGTAATAAAATGCTACACATCTCATCTGTGGAAATAATTAGTTATTTTATGTTCCTTGTAAAATCAGTTTAAAGTGTTTATTTTTTTATGTTATATGGATCCTGAGTGAGGGAAAGGTAATGCTGGAGCAAGGATTTAAAGGACTGGAAATAACTAAATAGTGGCTCTCAAAGCAGAGGACAGAGGAGTTAGAGGTAGTCTTCTGTATAGTGAAGTCAAGGTATTTTAAAGACTAGTGACTGTAAGTTTAGTTTTAATAAATATGGCTAGCTAATGTGTAGTAGTATAATTTGTTATCACTTCCTGCTCTGTCTTTAACTGAATTTTGTTGAAATGGAAAGTACATGGTTGCGTATTTCCCATCTGTGCTTGCATAATATACATAATAATTTCAAGAAAACAACACAATTTAAATTAGTTTATAATTTTGTCTTCCTCTCCTCTTTCCCCCCCCCCTTCTCTACTTAGAAAACAAAAAAAAAAAATTTAAAAACTTTTGGATTAAGGCTTTGGAGGTTTCAGAGTTCCTCTGAGATGGCAAAACCCTCAGGAAATTCAAAACCTGCATTTAAAGCTGATGGCTTCTTCTTTTTATATATGTGAATATAATTCTTGCTGTAATTATGAATAAGCATTAAATTCAAAAGAGAATAATAGATTGGTAATGGCATTTCATGAGATGTAGTGGTTCATAGCAGAAAAATAATTCCAGTTTCTGTTGCTGATTTGGAAATCAAGAAGGGAACCTTTTGGGAAAGTGACCTTTTTAATGAATCCTATTTGAGCACAGTGATGAGTGCTGTATAGAAACTTAAATCAGTCTGCTGTTCAGGTTTTCAGTGCTCATTTTTTCAATTCAGAACAGTAAATGAAACCTTATGAAAATGGGTAGGAAATTGAAAACACTATTTCAGTGTGTATTTGTTGAATTCCTGATTAGGTGCATTTAGGGATATTAAAGCTGATTTGTTGTCAGTGATTCTTCCTGCTCAATAATATTAATCCGCCCCCCCCCCCCCCCCCCCCCCCCCCCCCAGCAAACCCAAACAGGCACCCACTTCCCTGATTTTCCATACCTGGATTTTAAAAATGTTTTAAAATCCATAGACCTCTCAATTTGCAATGTAAACTGCATGTATTGTCAGATACTGAGGAAACAAAAGGTTGATGGTACAAATTTGTGGGTTGTTTGACTTTAGAAACGCCTTCATGAAAAAATACAATTTTTATAATTTTTACAATGTTATTTTAATGGTTCTTAGTGAATTACTATAGGGGTTGGTTTGTGTGTGTTTGATTTTTGGTTTTTTTTTTTTACTGTGCATATTTTGTAACCCCATCACAATAGGAGTTTTTTTTTTAGCCTAGTGCATAACACTATTCTACATTCAGCAATTGCTATTTAAATAGGTTTCTCTAGTCAACTCTATCTGCTGTTTGTTTTTCAAGAAAGTTATTTGTATTTGCAGTATGTTAAACATGTCCTTTTTATGAAGTGAAACACAGATGGATAACTGATAATGCTGAGAACTGCTCTCACTGAAACCAGAAGTGGCAACTGCTAGAAGCAGGCAGGGTGGCAGTGAGCTACCTAACCTAGCTTGATTTGCAGTTTTCCAATAATAGTAAAAATAGGACATAAACAACTGCAATTTCATAAGGGTGTAATTATGTAAAATGTAAAAGCAAGTTGTAAATGGCAGAGTGTAAAATCTTTATACAGTTATTGATAGACAGTGAAACCCCAGAAGCTATTGCTTGATGGGCAGAGGCTGGTATTTTTTTAAATTAGTATGCAGTTCATGTTAAAAAACATGAGGTGACAGGACTAGCACCAAGAATTTGTAGCTAAAGGAATAAGCATCTTGGCTAATGGGAACAAGAGGCTTCTATGGAGAATTTGCTAATGAGTATCTCCCTTTCTGACTAATCTCTGAAATCACGCTGAGCAAAAACTGAATCTTAATTGTAGTTATAATGGATCAGACGTGAGCTGCGTTACGGCTTGTTTTTCAGTGCTCACCGAAACTTTTTGTACTTATTGTTGTTGACTGTCTCCCATGTTCTGTGAATTTTCATCCAGGGAAGCAAAACTTGGACAGTTGATTCTGAAAGGAAAATTTGTGGGGAAAGGATAGATGTTGATATTTGGGACTTGTTTTTAAAGCAAAAGGTGAAAACTTGTTTCAGTGTCAGGTAACTTGTGTGGAAGCCTGTAATGGGACTTTCATGTACCTTTCCTTACTTAAAAATAACTGCAAGAGGACTTATAAAGTGAATAATAAGATAAATAAGCTTCCTCTCCCTAATGTGTCATTTTGGGGCAGGTCTTTACAGGCTTTCTTGGAGCCTGAGCATTCATCGATTTCTGAGGTTGCAGCAAACTACACAATCCTTGAGGTCCTTTGAAAGTGTCTCCTGTTTTATTAGTATTGAGGCCTGATCAGAAAAGTGATGTTGTTTGTGCTCTCAAGAATGAGCAAACATTCTTTTGTTTCAGAAAATTATATATACTTGATTGAGTACCTGTAGTTAGGACAAGGCACGTAGCAGCTTTCACTCTGCTGCTTATTTGCAGCCTTTCAAAGCCACGGAGCATGTTCGGAAGCAAATAATTGAGAGGAAATACAGCATGTCACAGACCTAAATTGAGTCAGAGAAGAGTTCTGTGATTCTCCTGCTCTCTTCTCTCCTCATGCTGAGATATGTTGTGGCCTTGTGAGCTTTTGCAGATCCTAAGCAATCTGTGGTATACAGAGTTGAGAAGGTGAGGTTCTGTGATATGGCAGGCGGTTGCCTTATTGCTACATTTTCTGATTGTTTCAGATTTTTTATTAACCAGTATATATACACTTCTGAAGTGTAAAATCCAACACTGCAGTATTAGGAAAGCTTAACTGTTATGGAATCTCTTTTTATGGGCATGTTATTAAAAAATCTAAATTATGTCAAGTACTTCTTTCTGTTAGGAATAAATAGAATACTGCATTAACAGAATACTTCCTTCAAAGAGGTAAAAAATCAAGGGAAGATCATGTAATATTTCTTTTTCTTGAGGAAAGAAGAATTTTATATTATTGGAAAAGCTCCAGTGAATTAGGGCTACTTTGTATTAAGTACTGTAATTGAATTATATACTAGGTTGGTTTTGATTGTGCTAATACCCTAAAAATGCCCTCTTTTGAAGAACTGAAAAGCTTACATAGCACTGGAGGTTAGCTATGAACAGCAGTGTTCATTTATGCTTTTGTATGCATGTTTTTTATACTAGCAGCTCTATGACATTAAATTTGTCTCATTTGCAATGAGGTCTTCAACATTGTCATGGGGGGCAGTGGCAGGGCAGGTACCGATCTCTTCACTCTTGTGACCAGTGACAGGACTCAAGGAAATGGCATGAAGCTGTCTTGGGGGAAAGCTTAGGCCGGGTATCAGAAAGAGGTTTTTCACTGAGAGGGTGGAAGGAACAGGCTCCCCAGGGAAGTGGTCACAGCACAAAGCCTGACTGAGCTCAAGAAGCAGTTGCTTCTCAGGCACACACGGTATGATTCTTGGGGTGTCCTACATAGGTCCAGGAGTTGTTCCAAGTGATCCTGATGAGTCCCTCCTAACTCAGCATATTGTATGATTCTACGATAATTTTCAAGCATCTTGTTTAAAATATACTTGTCACTTATTAAATTATCTGATGGTTTCTTTAATTCTTTTTCAGATCTTTGAAAGAATTTTGTTTATCTGGGCAATACGTCATCCAGCCAGTGGATATGTTCAGGGCATAAATGATCTTGTTACTCCCTTTTTTGTGGTCTTCATTTGTGAATATATAGGTAAGATTTGTCTTAACACCAAATTATGATTGATATTGGTTTTGAACCATCATATTCATTTTAATCTGACTAATGGTTTGGATGAGCTAATCAAAGCATAATTTGATATGTGAATTTTTTAATAAATGTTTTAATTATAAATCTGTATTGTTCTGTTTAAATATATACCGAGAAGCAATCAGATTTTGTTTAAGTAGTCAGTGGAGTTCAGGAATCATCTTGATTTGTACTTAAGAAGTGTTCACCACTCATGATGCATTTTTCTTCATAGGTAATTTTATTCTTTCCTGTTCATGTTTTTTGTGAAAACTTTAAATTGTACATATGACTCAGACAACAGCAGCAAAACAAAAAAACAAACCAAGAAATCCAACAAGGCCCACCCAAAAAAACCCCCAAACAAACAAAATAACCCGTGAAACAAGGAAACCTTTTAAATGGGTGGAAGGAAAATTAAAATAAAAGGAACCTATTAAACTGCATCTGTGGCTGAAAAAATCCTGTAATTTGCCTCTGAAATTTAAGGCAACAGTAATCAAATTTCCCTGGTTTAGAACTTAGCTCTTCTGGTGCTTATGACATTACTAACAATAATAGTGTCAACAACTCTATTTGTGGTGTTTGTGGCTTTATGTGTGAGTATATTTTTGAAAATTTAACCAGCTCGGATGCGGGTTAAATCTTAAATTTATAGATTAGTATTTAAGTTGTTATTAACATTAAGATAATGACTAATAGTTAATAATTGATTAATAACTTGGGTATAACTGTGGATATAAGAGGTAAGGTTTAAGAGTAAAAATGACAGTGTTAATCTAGTTTGAATTAAAACTGTTTTCCTTGTACTTATTTATCATACACATGTACAGTGAGAGTATAAGCGTTGTGTATGTAAACTTGAGCAGTGCATTGTCTGCCTGCTTCAGTGGATTCTTCCTACCTTCTCTGTGAAAGATACCCACTGTATCCAGATTAGTCCAGATTGATTGATTTTAATGAAGGACAGATTATCCTTGAGTGGGTGATAGACTATCCGTTTTCTCATTTGCATGGCAACACCTCTGTTGCTTTGTTCGTTTCTTGTTTCATATGGGGACATTTCATTGCTAAGCAACCGGTGAGAACTACTGCTGCTTTCTCCCTAATCATCTCTTAAGTATGGTAGAGGCCCACTCCTGAGAGTATTTGCAGTTTCTGCCTTTTACTCCCTCATTTGACAGATAATGAAAATGTTCTTAATGATCCTGGAGCAGTGGGGTCTCTAGTAGACTTTAGGGTTGCTAATTGAAATAAGAAGTTCAAATGAGATGTGATTAGAGAATTGATATTCCATGTTAAATAGGCCATTTAATTAATATGGTAAATAAGTTTGTCTTTACCACCAACTTACATTTGGAGGCCCTGGTGATCGTTAATGTATTTGCAGTTCGTCAATGTTTTTATGTCAGAGAGCATAGTTGTTCCAGCAAGTGTTCAGTGAAGAAAGACAAAACTCAAAACCTTTCAAATATAGAAGATAGTCTACCACTGAAAGTGTATGAAGCTCAGAAAATGGCACTCTGAAAGCTTGTTTAAAAGCTAATATCTATGTCATAAGAAAAATAGCAAAATGAAGGTATTTCTTTCAATATTGCAGTGGTCATGGCTAATTTCTAACAGCAGTTATTTCCCCCCAGGGACATATAAGAACTTTCAAAATAGCCTTTTGATTTGAATCTAGTATATTCAAGTTGCACTGAGTGATCTATTCAAGTTAGAGTGAATGAGCATGCATTTTACTTAAAGTTGAAATGGGGACTTGAAATTTTTGAAGTACCTCAAAAATCCTGAGACTTGTAATAAAATTATAGGATTCAAAAATCAGACTGTGAATTGCAGTTTAGTGGTTTAGTAGTTTAGATAGAAATAATTGCAGAATCGCAGAAATGTCCTAGCAAAAATCTTTAAACTGCTAGGATATTTAATATTTACTCTAGTGATACTCTGTATTTACTTGTTTACTCTAGATCTCATTTCTTGATTTTAAGCGAATATTGGCTTGTACATTAAAGTGCTTTATTTATTGCTATCTTTTAACTGTTGATTTTTGTATTTTCTCTCTAAATTTAACTGAAAGCTTTTTGTTGCAGTTCAAAGTCACTTGAGTCCTAATTGATACAGTTGAAAGTGATAATGCCTTTTGTTGGTTCTTTCTATAATTAAAAAAAAAAGAGGTACTTAAGAATTATTAAAGATTAATAATAAATTCTAGTTGACAGTGCCATGAATAATAAATCTGTGCTGATTAGATCATCTAATGGTATATCCTTGTAATGTTTAAACACAGCTGCAGTTTCGTCAGATATTTTGGTGGGAGGAAAGCAGTGTTTATTTTGGATTTATGACAATTGAGAGCCCTTAATCCTTAATCTTGCATAACAAGTGTGTGACGTATTTATTCTAGTGATGGGAGGCTTTCTGCTCTGCTAAAGATGTCTACAAACTTTTTGGAACAGTGTTGTTACAGAACTTTTGAAGATACAAAGGAATGGATGGAAGTGATAATTTACTTCTCATTCAAATCTGAATGCCATAAAGTAGGTTTTGTGGGTTTATATATAAGGACTGAAGTCATAGATATTTTGATGTTTTAGGGTGGATCGAAGTACCTGATTTTAGCACAGAGGTTCACACATGGAGAATAGATTGAGTGACTTAATGCAGGAACTGAATATGTTAAATGTTGAGGGCATTTTTTCAACTTTTTCTTCAGTGTAAGTATGATGAAAGTGTAATCTGGTAATGTCTCATTAGTTCCCCACTCTCCAATAAAAGCAGAATGCTGTAACATTTTCAACAAGATAAAACTTGGTTGTCAAACCAAGCCAGGAAAAGCAAAATGGCGATTAAAGAAAATGTCAAAGTGGGTAAACACTGGTCCTTGCTGGAATACAATACTTTCAGTTTTGAATTTCTGGTCTAAATTAGGAAAAAGAGGAATTTAAACCTTGGGTTTCTTGTACCAGATGATTGTGTGTGTTAATATCAACATTATTTTCTGAAAATTTTTCCCCTTATGAAAAAAGCTATAGATCTTCTTCCTGCCATATTATAACAGCTTCTTTAGAATTTCAAACACTATAGGTGTGGGAAAACTATTTTGTGTTTACTTCTAACCTCCTGCATGACATAGCTGAGTAGTAACATGCATTGTCAGAACAAATGCTAATTACTGTCAGGGCAGTTTTCCTGAGAGGTGTTTGTTTGTGTGTGTGTTTGCAGCATATTAGTTTGTGTCAAAATGAATCTCATCCCTGTGGATGCACCAGAGGTGTCTTTGTTAATAAGATATAGCATGTGACTCGTCACTGTTCACAGATTCAATGAACAAGAAATTTTGCACTGGACTGCAAGTCCTATTTGAAGTTGCCACACATTGCACTCTTTGTACACCTTCCTCTTGCCCTAATTCCTGTTCATCTGCATCGTTTCCAAGTATTAGGTTGTGCTGCACAGTTCCTCGTGGTTTCTTGCACACAGAGTTAGCTACACTTCACTGTAATCGTCATTTCAGTAGTTCACTGGGCCTTGTGTGTATATCTAAAACCCCAGAGAGGACCTGGATTTATTCACCATCCAGAGAGATGAAAGCTTTAGAGAAACACTACCATGATAAGGATGCATGCCAGGCCATTGCTAAGTGGAATGGCTGTATGAAATAACTTTGAGACCCCCTAGAAGTGTTGGATCAAGACCAAATTAGGAGTTAGTAGGAAGTCCAGGGCAGAAAATGAACACTTTTGTAGCAATTCATCATTTTATGTCGGATAAAGAACATCAAGAAAAATGAGGCTGCTGAAGACTGGAATGGCGATTGAGATATTGTCTACAATCTCCTTGAAGTAGTGGAGCTACTCATGAACTGAAAATTTTGAAAAGAGAGGTCTTAACCTTTGTAAGTATTTTTTCTTGTGATCTTAAATTCTTTTGTAGAAATGAAACTTCTGTTACCTGGTGTTTTTTAAATTGATACTGCCATGACTTCTTGGAATAATTAATCCAGGCCCAAATCCTAGTAGGATTGGGGTGGGATTTATTCCCAGACCAGTGTTACTATGAGTAAAGGAAGGCTTTTTTGTCCTAAAAAAGGCTTGATCTGTCTATAGCTCCTTTGCTTACAGTTCTTTCTATTCCCTCTCACATGCTACAAGAAGTCTTTCTGTCCCTATAAAACAGTATGCAGTCTCATTTTTGCCTTCTTCCCTTTCTTTTCAACAGATTTGCTGTGAGTAATTATATTTAAAATTATTTGTTCCACCATTTGCTCTATCTAAAATTATTATGTTCATTATATAATTGGAGCATTCAGAGCATTTTATCATGGCAGTATCTGAGGTAATTCCTTAATGTTTGTTTATAAAATATGAAAAAGTTGTCAATTAAGCAGAGATGATTTTTTCTTGAGGAGAACTGTAATTTTTGTGCAATAAGTAGATCTGTTTAGAATGTCCATCATATTGTATTTCTAAATGATGTAAGCCAGAGAACAAAGAGTATTAACCCACTGACTCTGGAGAGCTGCTTTTCTTCATACTTAGAGGGTTATAGGGTAAAATTTTGTTTAGCATGCATTATTTCCTTTCCTTCTCAAGACAAAGCTGAAGCCTTGATTGCTTCAGAATGTAAATTAATTTGAGATATATAATCCTGATGTCTGAACACCTAGACCTTTCCACCAATTCACTAGTCCTTGGAGAATTATGAACAGGACTCATGCATTGAGGTTTGGGGAGATAAAGTGGAAAAGATGGAACATATTTGTAGTCACTCAACTTAGAAGAGACTGAATGAAACTGAAGGGACAACAGATTGTTTTTATAAAGTGGAAGTTGAACAAGGAGCTATAACTGTATTAACTGGATGTTTCTGCTTCTCCCAGGCTCTTCAACTTTTGCTGTCTTCTGATTTACCAGGAAAGAAATTCTGGAAAATCTCTGAGGACTGAGTGCTCAGGCATGTGG